AAATTATATGAGTCCTTCAACACTATTCTTTTTCATAACTGTTTTAACTACCTTAGTTCCTTTACCTTTTCACAGAAATTGTAGAACAACGTTATCAATTTCTTCAAAAATGCTTCTTTAATTTTAATTAGGGTTACTTTGAATATATAGATCATTTGAGATTGCATTTAATTAATAGATACTTGGTTCATAATTGGGCTATCTACTAGTATCATTTTTCTTTCTTTCCTTCCTGCCTTCTTTCCTTCCTTCCTTCTATTATTTTTTTCTCTCTTTTCGTCTTTTCTTAACATTCACATTCCATGACCAACATTCCCTAACTACTAATTTAGAATCTCTGGGTTTAGGGCTCAGGCATCTATGTATTTTACAAAAATTTTTGAAGAATTCTTTAAGTACATTGCCAGGTACTTTATTAGTATGTGGAAGCCCCGAGAAACGACAAGACCCTACAACTCAAAAAGTCTGACCTTGATCTCCTCCAGATCTCTATCTAATGTTCTTTTACATCAAGTATTATAGTTATCTGTATATTGTCCCATCCGCCTTGTCAATACTTCCTATTCATGTGTTCATATCTTATCTCCTCTATTAAACTCTCAATGAGCTTAACTGTATCTCTCATAACACTTAGAACTGTACCACTTCAGAAGTGATAGTAATCTTTATTAAATAATTATGAATTCTATCATAGGTTATGCTTTCATATTATTTCATTATATACATGTTTACAGGATTTTGAGAGAAGTAAACAGATTATTTTCCCAGGAAGAGGACACTGGATTTCAGAGAATTTAAGTCAGGATTCCAATGGCACATAGCTATTTAGTATCAGAGCTAGGACTATGTTCTGTATCATCAGATTTCTTTTCCAATCCTATGCATATTCCTTGTCCCCTGAGGGATCGTTATATACTAGAGACCAAAGTTCATTCATGTAATCATTTCTTATTCTGTAGTTCCTTGACCAGAACCATTCACTTGTTTGTTGCGGAAAAAAACAAAATCGTCTTGTTACTTTTCTGTCCCGGAAGACAATTAGTGTGTTTCCTTCTTGGAACATCCCTGTGGACTTCAAGAAGAGCTGGAGAACCTGGTATAAGGGTCCAAATGCTTAAGATTCATAGCACAACTTAATTGAGTGAGCAGTTCATTTCCACAGGTAAGAGGAAAGTTTTTTATCACTTACAAAATATTTTAGAAACTATAAGATTGAATGTAAAACTACAGTCTATGTTTTAACATTTGAATCTGAGAGAGACATTTCTAGTTAGCTCAGAATTGAATGAAAAATTAAATCAGGGAACTCCAGGGAACACAGGAGGGCAAATAGGAAAGACTCCCAAAACATTTAGGTCAATAGAGCTCTAAATTAGAAATTTGCTTTAATTTATTTGTTGGAAAATAATAGTCAGAGTAAGGGTAGTAGATATGTACACCTGAAATTTATACAATGTTATAAACCAATGTTACTGCAATAAACAAAAAATTTAAAAAAAATAAACACAAAAAAGAAATAAATGACCATATTTAAAGTCTAGAAAAATTATTAAATGGAAAGAAAATTATCTATCAACCAGCCACTGGGTATATGCTATTAAAAGATTATAAATTTTTTAAATGGAAGCATATAAATGAATTTTAAATGTGTTTTATTATTTAGCTAATTGATCTAGGAACTACTTCAAGTTTTTATTTTTATTTTTTTGTTTTAGTATCATGGTACTTAAAGGTGATGCCTTTGTAAAAAATTTCAAATATTTAAGGATGATATTTTGCACTATTTCTAGGGGATAACAGTTCCAGAATTATGGCATGTTACAATGAGTCTGCAGTATAGTCAAGTGGAAATAGCTTAACGTGCAGCAGCAGAGAAAGGCTGGATTGAATCCTGGCTCTACTAGAGATTTACTATGTGAGCTTGGTCTTATTGGTCTAGTTGGTCCTCAGTTTTCTCATCTACAAATGGACACTGAAGGATTTAGTTTGCAGGTTGCTGTGTAGATTACATAAGATAATGTACACAAAACTTCTACCCTATAGTAGCCACTTAATATCATGTGGTAGCTGCTCTTAGCTTTCCTTCTTCTCAAGCTTAGTGCTTGTAGTACTGTTCACATGAGGGTTGAGCAGCTGATTTTAGTTTTCCAGAATGATCATGTTTTGTTAAAAATTTGGTACCTATATTTTTATCTTTCTAGCCTCTATCTCTTAAAGTGAGATCGGCTAAATATAAACACAATCAGCTCTAATTTCCTTAAATATTAGTTGAAGGAAATGTCTGTTTGAAGAACACCTTGGATGAAGTAAATAAAACTCATACTTTTTGTCTATCCTTTCTCAATTCCCTACAGTGAAGTGGATAATTGCTCTAATGGGACATGATTGGGAATAAAACATATCTCCATTCATAAACCACCTTCTTTCCCTACAAATAAGATCAGAGACATCAAGGGTTATGAGAAATTTATCATGGACCAAATTATCAGGGAGATTTAAGAAAACATACTATTATTTTACTGACTTGCCCAAAGTCAGGATGTAATGACAGAGATGTACCTTTTTAAGGAGCCTGATAACATTTCATATTGGGATTCACTGGGCTTAATCTCATAGGAATGGTATTTTAATGTATATTAAGAGTCATACAACAAACATATGTACAGTTAACATAAGACATTGCTTCTGGTTTGGAGCTAGTTCATTGCTCAATGCTTAGATGAAAAATTGATTTACAGCTCCCTATTTATTTTGTCATACTTAATAAATGTTAAATGTCTTATTTCATTTATATGCACCCTTCACATAAAATTAACACTTTTAATAAAACATATTTGAATGCATCTCATAAATAAACACTCTGAAATTACACCACGATTATGTAGTGTCCAAGATATTCCTGAAAATTTGAACAATCTTAATTATTCTTTGGTTTGGAAGAATAAAGTTACTTTTCCAAGGTCACACTGTCAACAGGTGCTAAATCTGAGATTTTAATACAGGATTTTAGTGTTTAAATGTAATGTATATATAAATATAATGTCTAAATATAATCGTTCACAATTGTCTGGTCCAGAACACATCAGTTAAGTAAATGTTAGAGTTGAAATGTAGCTGAAATTTCCCTGTGTATGTCAGTTAACATGTATTTTGCAATGAATTCCTTTAGTAGACCACCTGTTGGTGCATTTTTCAAAATTTGCTTGCATTGTGTTATGTCTTTTCACTCTGCTTCTTCGTATCTGCCTAATTCCTGTTTGGTCCCTGACTCAATTTAATAAATATTTTTGTATGTAATCCGTGTAATCTTGAAAGAGAGAGAGAGAGGGAGAGATAGAGGGAGAGAGAGAGAGGGAGAGATGGGAGAAGAAAGAGAGAAAATGAGGAAATTTGTAAACATAAATGTATTTTTTGTGATGCCTGAATTATACATCAATATTTTACATTATTGATTGAGGATTTATAAGTTATTTTATTAATATAACCATTCAAACTAAACTAGAATTTATTATAATTCAGTTGGGAGTGTGAGTTATCATGAATAATGTATGAGTTGTCTGAATTAAAATAAATATCAATATTTAGCTTAATTAAATTTTTTTTCTCTAGAATTCTGTAAGGATTAAATGAGGTTTTTTCTTCATAATCCCACTCTTAAAAAGCTATTTAATCAATGTATTAGGAAAATCTGTCACATAAAACTGGGAGAACCTCCTGGGAAAATAAGACACGTGGCTTTCTTTTCCTTCTCATGATAGTTGCTCATTCTCTTCTTGCTGCATGGTCGTCTCAATATGACAAAAATGTAGTGTGTTTCATGTTAGGAATATAAATCATCTGTAGGTCACTGAATTCAGCCAGGCCTGCACACGGCACATTCTTCACTACTTTAGATACATTTTGATCTATGACAAGCTGAAGGAAACACACGAGTCACCATGCTGAAACCCTGCTCCTAAATATAATAGACACAATATTTAAATATGATTCAATGATAGAGGATTTCTATCCAGATCCGGATGACTCTTTAACTTTTTGTTTATCATGCACTTTCCTTTCTTTATACTCCACTGAAAGAGAAACAGTTTGACAACGTAAAGAAATATACCAAAAATAAAACAAAATACTGTGATTTAAATAATGATTTTATTCTGTTAGCAATAGTGTCTATAAAAAACATATCATCTATTATTAGGTAATATTTATTTTATAGAAATTTTAGAAACTTCTTAAAAAACTATAATATATTAAAAGGATGGCCATGATTGATTTTGACCGAAATATTTATCAAAAATACGCCCAAAGACTTTGCAGGGATAAAGAATATATGTATAGAGAAAAATTTTACATTGGTATTTGGTTAAAATTTGAAAAATATTAGTAGGATAATAAATTGTGGAGGGCAAAATGGACACTTAGTGTTATGTGTTTCGAAGAAAGAAAACTGAAAAACAAAACGAAACAAAACACCATGCTCTGTCTTTGTTTGCAAACAAGTTGCATCTACCTCCAGAATAACGTCTATTGTTCTATTCACCACTGTTCTAGAAGTCCTAATGATATGGAAAACAGCCAGAAAAGACATCAAACGGTTTGGTTGGAGAAGACTGCTTCTTAACATGTAGAAAAGTAAGTCTGACTTATTGCATTTTCTAGCCATCTGGGAATCTTTTAAGATTTAAATAGTTTTCACACTGATTTTATAATTTATTTCAACCCAGTCTTGTGAGAGAAGTGTATTTGCTCCCATTTTGCTAATTATGAACATTAAGGAGAGACATTTCATGCACACTGTAGAAAATCTAGAGTTAGCGCTCAGATGTGTAGTACTTTCTATTACAATACTTTCTGATTTAAAAATTTGTATATTCATTTGTCTTTGTGAATTTTAAGATGATGTAATAGGACAACAGGAGGGAGTAAATGTAACAGAAAATATATTAAAAATTAAACCAAGTAAATTGGCTGTTTTTTAACAAGACAAACTTACCAAACAACTGAATGAAATAATTTCTTTACTTATTTATACAGGGTAACGCATCCACTTGGACCCAACTTCTTCATCACTGCCTATTCCTTCACTGCCAGGGATTCCAACAGGCCCTCTCAGAAGCAAACACGAGGCTATAATTGGATGGGTTCTATTTTCAAAAATACTGCATTTAGAACATATAAATAACTGAAATGTCGGGGTTGCCATCAGATGTAGATTTATACACAATCCACGTGAAGAATGTGAGTGAAGTCACCGTGTTTATATTGATGGGCTTCATAGGTGATTTTGAGGTGCAAGTCTTCCTATTTTTTCTCTTTCTAGCAATCTATCTTTTCACTCTGGTAGGAAATTTGGGACTCATTGTATTGGTCATTGGGGACTACCAGCTGCACAACCCTATGTACTATTTTCTGAGTGTGTTATCATTCTTGGATGCCTGCTATTCTTCAGTTGTCACTCCAAAATTGTTGATCAATTTCTTGTCAAAGGATAAAACTATTTCATTCCTTGGATGTGCAGCACAGATGTTTTTCTATGTTACATCTGGGACCACAGAATGCTTTCTCTTGGCTGCAATGGCATATGATCGCTATGTAGCAATCTACAACCCTCTGCTGTATTCAGTTAACATGTCACCCAGGGTCTATGTGCCGCTCATCGTTGCTTCCTATCTTTGTGGCATTTTGAATTCTTCAGTGCACACAGGGGCGGCATTTACTCTCTCCTTCTGTGCATCCAATGAAATTAGACATTTTTTTTGTGACATCCCTCCTGTCCTCGCCATTTCTTGTTCTGACACAACCAAAAACCATCTTCTAGTCTTCTACTTTACGGGCGTTATTGAGATAGTTACTATCCTGATTGTCCTGGTCTCCTATGGTTTCATTCTGTTAGCCATTCTGAGGATGCATTCTGCTGAAGGAAGACGAAAAGTCTTTTCTACATATGGCTCTCACCTAACTGGAGTGTCACTTTATTATGGAACAGTCTTCTCCATGTATGTGAGACCAAGTTCCAGCTACTCTTTGGACCGGGACATGATAGTGTCGATTTTTTACAGCATTGTCATCCCCATGCTGAATCCCATCATCTACAGTTTAAGGAACAAAGATGTAAAAGAGGCAGTGAAAAGAGTGTTTGGGAAAAATTGGTTTATCAGTAAAGTATATCCTTCAGATTAAACATTAAATTGAAACCAGTTAAGGTTAATGTTAGTTGTCTCCATATTGAAAAGTTATGATTAAAGTGTTTTTTTTTTTTTTTGGTTTCATAGTTTCTTTCTGTTCTTCTCAGAAATTTTCAATTAAAGGTCACAGTCAACCCAATATCCACACAGTCTTTACACATGCAGAAAACTGTCATGCATCTGCTTCTGTTTGTATACATATATAAATATATGTCCCCCACATACACAGAAACATATATACACACATATATACACATATATGCTGATACGGTTGTATTATTTTCCTAGGGCTGCCATAGCAGAGTACCAAAGACTGGATTGCTAAAACAACAGAAATTTATTTCATCACTTTTCTGGATGCTAGACTTTTAGGTGAAGGTGTTGACCAGGTTGATTTCTTCTGAAGACTTTCTCTTCCTGGGTTGCAGATGATCATCTTCTCTTTATGTCTTCACATGATCTTTTCTCTCTGAATCTTCATATCCTGATCTCTTCTTTTAAGGTCAACAGTCATATTGGATTAAGGCCCACTCTAAACGCCTAACTGGATTAAGGCTCACTCTAAATGCCTAATTTTAAGGTAACTACCTCCTCAAAGACTCTATCTCCAGATTCAGTTACATTCTGTGGTACTGGGGGTTAAGATTTCAATATGCAAATATTGGTTTATTTACGCACACACATAGGCATATATGTATGTAACAATTACATTAAATTGTAAGTTTTATCTTTCATCTCCGTGTCACTCAAATTGGACAGGCTCCAGTAGCTGCAATCATAAATAACTTTATAATTATATCTCCTTAGCTTGAGCAAATACCACCTAACTGATAACAAACCACAGCTCACATAATCCCAATCCACTCTCCATGGGGTCATTGGCATCTGACTCCAGTTCAAAGCACTCTGCTCCATCCTTAGATCAATGCCTCTGCAGCAATCTAATCCCAGCCTGTGGTTTAAGGACCACAGAGTATGTGTTCAAATTCCTGGTGTCCATTATCCCGTTGTTTGTGAGGGTACATTTCTCTCTCTTTTATTATTTTCTTATTCCATCCAGAGCATGGACATTAAACCCGTTTTTATTTCCTCATAGAATACAGAGACTAGGCATTAGCATTTACGAAGATTACAGTTAAACTCAAGAATGACAAAAGACAAGCACAATTTGGAGAATAACGTACAACTGGCTGGCAGATTGGGCTCTTCCCACAACTAAGCCCCAGCTGTCTTTATGGGGTTCCCTCAGGGCTGGTCCTGACTCAGCTTGGCTTTTTTTTCATGACTCCTACCTCTCTGTGACGCCACTTCTCCTCAGTGTCCAGGCCCAAGAACCAGGGTACAGAAGAGAGGCTTTACTATGTACATGTGCAGCACTGTTGCCAACAGACCTTATCTGCATTGTAAGATTTGTCTTCTTCAAAGTTTCTTATAAGAGGTAGTGTTTTTTCTTCCTTACTTTCTTTCATTATCATTATTGTTATTATTATTATATTTTGTAAAAACCCGTGTATTATCAACAGAACAGTCTTCTAGAAAATAGAGTGCAACCCCAGAATGTTTCTCTAAAGTGGAATTATTAAGTTTAAGTAACATCTCAGCATTTCACACACAGAGCATCTCTTACCACGATAAACGCCCCCACAATTTTTCTGCATTTCCTTTCTCATGTTTGGAAGGCTCTGCACACTGCTACTCACATGATTTTTTCCTTTACGTGTCTCTTGTTAATGAGGATCTCATTGACTACATTATAATCACAATTTATCCCCATTGTATCTCCTCGTATTCCATCTTCCTTAAATTTTTCCATTGTGCTTAGTATTATTTTACATAATATGCATGTTAACTTATATTTAATTTATTGTCTAATCCATTTTCCTTGGCCTGGAACCATGTCTGACACATATTGCTGCTGAATATATATTCCCTTAATGAGTGGATATTTTAGGTGGTGTACTGTCAAAAACAGTTTATTTAATTCACTTTAGATATATATGAAACAGAGCTAGCACTTTTCATTTAGCTATTTGTAGGTTGTTTTAGAATTTCTGATTTGTTTTTCCCTTTTAAATTTTTCCTCATCTTTCCGTTGGTCTACTTTGCTATTCTTTTCTAACTTTCTGGTTTGGATGTGGATTTTCCAGTGTCACCATGTCGGAGGCATCCCACATATTTTATTCTCTCACACTTTCATTATCAATATTTCTGACATTTTCCATATTTCTCTTTGAATTAGGAGTAATTTAATTAGTTTTAAATGGCTAATGGAATAGTTTGAGAAGTGTTTTTTTCTATAATTGTCATTTATTTCAAAACAGAATGCAGTTTGCATTTTTTTCTGAATTCAGACATTTTTTGCCAATATTGGCATTTTTCATAAATGCTGCACATATTCTTGAAAAGAAAGAGAATCTTCTTTTATTGTGATCAACAGTTAGTCATACTTATCTATAAAAACAAACTTATTACCTGGTAGTAATTTTGTTATGATTTTATTAATGATTGGTTGACTAAAAATATATAATAGAGATGTATTAGGTTTTCCTAATGTTAAAATGCTTCTATGTCTTTGCGTCTCCCATATGAGAAGTTTTCTGATTTAAGATATTTGTTGCTACATTACTATTTGCATAGATAACACTCACTGCTAAGTTTTCACTGTGAATTACAGTCTTTCATTACAAAGTATCTATTTTTAATTTATTTGGATGCTGTTCCCTGCATTCTGTATTTCTTGATATTAACATTAGAACCAATGCTTTCTTTTCATGTGCATTACCTAAATATGTCTTTGCCTGAGCTTTTATTTTTATTTTTACCTTTCTGAAACACTTCATAATATATTTGGATTTAAAAAACTATACTGAATGTCTTTTATTTTTTAAGGTATGTTAGGTACATTTTTAATTATTGCTAAATATATATTTAGTCTTTTCTTTGTCATATGTCCATAATACAAATATGTGTCATACACATACAGATGCATACACAAGCGTATATACACAGTCATACTTACAGGCAGAAACACATTTATATTATCCCCATTGTCCCTTTTTAGATACAGTCTCTTGGTTTCCTACTATGAGAAATATTGATGTTAGTAATTAACAGTTAAATTTCAGTTTCACTACCTTTAATCCTATACTCATATTCAGTTTCCTTGGTTCAATTTTATCTTGGCATGGAGTATTGTTTTTGAAAATTGTTTTGTAGGAAATACTGACTTTAGTATATATAATTTAGTACTGATCATTCTTTGGTGACACAGAACATAATGTACTCTTTCAATGGGAAATTTCAATTCAGAAAAAAGTCTCAATCATAGCTTGTGATATTTTTGCTGTTGCTTTGGCTTAGTTTTCTTCTTTGAAGTATCAATTCATGTGCATGTTCTGCTTTCTTTATGTATTTCTTCTTATCATCTATTTCTCTTACTGCTGTATTTTTATGGGACCTATTCAGTTTTTCTTTGTTTGTTTCATGTGATCTTTTTTTCTTTATCAAATGAAAATGATTTTTAGAGATATCTAAGGTTTAAGATATAATTTTTGGTATGTTTAAAGAGTTGTGCATTTTCATCACTCCAAAATGAGAGCTTGCACTGGCTAACAGTCATTCCCTATTGTCCCACCCCTAAACCTAAGAGCTACTAATGCACTTTCTCTTTTTATAGATTTGCCTATTCTGGATATTTAATATAAATCGTATCATACAATATGTACTCTTTTGCATCTAACTTATTTAACTTAGAAATATGCTTTTGAGGTTCATCCGTGTTGTAGCATCTATCAGTACTTCATTTCTTTTTATTGTCCAACAGTATTCCTTTGTGTGGATATATGACTTTTTGTTCATCCATTCATCAGTTGATGGACACTTGGGTTTTTTCCACTCTTTGGCTATTATTCATAATCCTTATGAACTTTTTTGTACAAGCATTTAAGTGAACATATGCTTTCAATTATCTTGGGCAGATACCAATGAGTAGGGGTCAGACCTAGATTTATTGGTGAATTCCATGAAACATTTAAAGAAGAATCAATACCAATATTTCATAGATTCTTCCAGGAAATAGGAGAAGAGGAAACACTTGTCAATTCATTCTGTAACATCACAAGTAGAGAAAACAAATGGTAAATGGGCTATTAAATCTTATGAATACAGATGTAAAAATTCTCAACAAAACACTGACAAATCAAATTTGGCCATTCTTTGTATTATTTTGTCATAATTTTACTTTTATGTATTACTTAAACTTACAATTCATCAGCATAGTTTTGCTTGTCATTCATTTTTTGAAGTAATTAAAATTAAAAGTTCAATACTTTTTAAATTTACCATCATTTTTACATTTTTGATGTTTTTTATTTCTTTTTCTAGACCCATGTTTCCTTCTGTTATACTCCTTCTGCGTGGAAAATTGTTGAAGCACGAGCTTGCTGGCTGTAAGTTATTTCAGTTTATATACATGTGAGTGTTCACTTGCATGCCTGTGTGTGTGTGAGTTTTTGCATTTTTTTCCTTACAAAGTCTTTATTTGCCTATATATTGGAAAGATATTTCAAATATTTCAGTGCGTATGAAATTCTGAATTGACAGTTATTATCTTTCACTACTTCAACTATAACTCCTTGTGATCTCCTGGTGTGTCTCCTTTCTTCCGGTGTCTGCTGTAATATTTATGTTTATTCTTCAGTATATAATATATATTTCTTCCTCAATTCCTTAATATGTTTCTACTTATCTTTTTTTCATCAATGATTCTGACGAGTGTAGTGCATTTTCTTTGTTGGTTCGCTTGCTTTTTGCATTTTTCTGTGATGGTTAATTTATAAGTCAAATTGGGTGAGCCATGTAGTTCTCACGTATTTGGTCAATCATTATCCTGGGTGTTTTCGTGATGATGTTTTTCATGAGATTAAAATTTAAATCGGGGCACTTTGTGTGAAACAGATTGTCCTCCACAATGTGAGTGAGCCTTACTCAATCAGT